ATCGAAATCGAATAATTATAAAGTTATAGTTTTAAAATTCGAATTTTGAAAAGTTTTCTTTAAGTTAAATTTTTTCATGTATTATTAATATGCCGATCAACGATCAAACCCAATCATATAATATATTTTTTTACACGTTTTCATAATGCAAATCCAAAATTTCTAAATGGTTCCATTAAAGGTCTCTCGTGAGATTATAACCAAAGCACTTCGTGATATTTTACATAAAGACGTAGTCTTTCGTGAACAGTCTGAAATGCACACTAAAATATTTGATTGGTTCGAGGAAAAAAATCCCTCCCCAACCATCAAGGCCATATGCAATATTCAAAAAACGAGTTTATTCTTCCGCTTTTTTTGGATCAAAAGTGATCAATCATTACAATACTGAACAAAAAAACCGAGAAACATCACCCCATCAGTAAAGCATACTTTTTCTTTCACCGATGAGGAACAAGGGGCCTTTATTGAACCTATTCTTAATTTGATTGAAAAAGCACTTAACGAGTTCCTTAACATACTATTCCTTCCACGGTCGTCGAGATCTTTGCCGTCAAACAGCACCCTCCAATAAATCCGGATTTTGATAATGCGGATACTCAATGTATGCTTAATTTCATTATTGAAAATATAAAATTTTTTGACAGATCGGTATTTCACGGAAAACTTAAATCAGCTCCGACTGAGCTTTTCAAAAATTATAAGAACAATGTTAGGAATAAAGTAGCACACGGAACCTTAATAGATCAAAAAGGTCGATGGAGCGACCACGAACTCCAACATATCGCTATTCTCGCGTGTGATGTTGTCACCTGTTTAGGTAAATAATTTATAACAATAAATAATTTTGTATAAGAGTTTGAACTGACTCATTATTTCTTTTGATACTAGGTGGCAATTATAAAGAATTACATGCTATAAAAGGAAATCTTGATAGTAAAATTGTTCAAAAATGGACGGGAAAAACAACTACAGGGGTCGAAAATAATAATTGTGAGAATCAGTCTCAACCATTAAAAAGAAAACATGATGACTCGAATTTTTTATGAAATGATAAAATTCGTTCGTGATATTTTAAATGAGGCAAATGAAATGAAAGAGGGATCCAAGCAAAAGATAATGAAGCTGGCGTTAAGAGAAGATGAAGATATAATACAGATATGGCGGGCTGTTAAAACGAAAGAGAGCAAAAGGGAACAATCCTACGAATTTATTGAATTTGGAAATATTTTATTTAATATAGTGAGTATCAAACTTTAATCTTTCCTGTATTATAAATCCTTGTGTGAATCAATACTCACTATATTTTATTTACAGAACTTAAAATGCAATAGCATTGAAGTGGAGAAATTGAAATCGGACTCCGATTCTCCTGAAGAAAAACAGGTACATATTTATGATAACTCTAGTTAGTAGCGCGGTGTGTGTGGAATAAGTTCTCGCGCGATTTTCGCTTCCAAATAGGTCGTGATTGCGCAACTTAAGGCTTAGAGCGACTATACAGTTTGTTCTAAGTTATAAGTTTCGCTGGCGTTGCTATAGAATACAAGATATACTCTTAAGACGTAGCTTTTGTAAGCTAAGTTTATAAGGGTTATCAAGTTTCTTGATCTTCGCTGGACTCGATGGCTTAACGAGCTCCTTATTTACATTAATTGCCTGCCAACTATTCAGAGTTTATTATTGTATGTATTATTTCACTGGTAGCTTCTAACAACCAACTTTTTTTAGGTCAAGATAACAAAAAATATCAAACAAGATGTTAAGGCATAAAGAAGGTTACAAAGAGCGTTTGGAATAGAAAAAAAAATTTATTTCTTTATAATATTGTAGCTTAGTGCAGTGTGGTGTATTGAAAAATTGTTTTTAATTAACACGGTAATTTTGAGATTTATTGGTTTAATTTCTTCCTTTTAAAATCTAAAACCAACAGCATCTAAATTTTTGATCATCACGTTACACGGATATTTTGTTTTTTTTACAGTGCTACAATGAACGTTATAATGTATACAGCCAGATGTTAATTATAATTTATTAAAAAAAAAAAGAAACTATTGTTATGTAAGAAGAATTTACATCAGTAAAAATAATAATAATAAATATTTTAAAAGTTGTGGCGACAAAGTTTTATTTATTTATAAAAATATCATATTATATTATATGTATATTATATAACTATATTATATAATTAGATTATATTATTATATTATATTATATTATAATCAAATTTAGCAATTAAGTTTAGAAATTAAGTTTAGCAGCAGCCGATTGATCTAAATACCAATATACTTGTCCATGAGAAGGTTTAACTAATTTAGCAGGTAAATCATCATAATTATTCTCATCTAATATTTTTCTCAAAATATCTTGTTTATTTTCACCCGTTGCCACAAAAATGATTGAATGAGCATGATTAATTACTGGTAAAGTGAAAGTAATTCTTCTAGAAGGTGGTTTAGGTGAATTATCGATATAACCAACCCATAAAGTTTCTTTTAATAAAGGATGATCAGGAAATAATGAACAAGTGTGACCATCTGGACCGAGACCCAATAATAATAAATCAAATACAGGATATTTTACAGGATTTAAAGAACCAAATACAGAAACAAGTTGATTTTCATAATCATCAACTATTTCTTGAGCCAATTCTTCTCCTTTTTCTGTTTCGCCAGATTTATAAGCCAAATCAATATTTTCCACTAAATCTGATTTAATGATGTGAATGTTTTCGGGAGGAATTGGTACGTGATCAAATAATTCTTTTTGACATAATAAATAGTTGGAATCTTCATGATCCAATGGAACAATTCTTTTGATATTTTTTAAATAAAAGAGTAAATATTCAAATATTCAAATTCATTGACAAATAAATGATAATAATAAAAATGATAAAAAATGATAAAAAATGATAAAAAATGATAAAAAATGATAATTTATGATAATTTATGATCTAATACCTTTCATCGCAAAAAAACACTTCCCATTTATTCCATTCAACTTCTTTTCTATTCTTTAAGCCAACTGCAAGGATTTTAGGTAAAGAACCTCCAGAAATTCCAACGGTAAATTTACTTTTGGATTCCTTAGATTTTTGAACTATCAAATCCGCTAATTCATCCGAGAGTTCTCCGGTAGTTGGTTTTATAACTATTTGAGGTTTTGTGTTATGTTGAGTAATCATTGTTAATGAGTAATGTTGTTAATAAGTAATGTTGTTAACGTAAATTGAAAAATGTTCAAATGATTTTGAATTAAAAATACCTTATGAAAGCACGTGGGAGTATATTTTGTGATACTAATGCATAACAAACGTACATAACATGACAAACACAACGTTGTGTGGAACGGATTCATTGATAAATGTTATTATTAAACAATTGGTATTTTCATAATTTTTTTAGTCTTTATTATTTCTCAACGCGTTTAAACAATAATAATAATAAATTCCAAAAAAAAAAATGAGAAGCCTAAAGAAATTCGGAAATACCCGCCGTCGTATATTAGCTTTTATTTTAATACTTTGCCTTCTTAAATTATTTAAATTTCCTATTGTTTCGTCGTTAAGTACTTCCGAGAACAGTAATAACGAACCTATTGATAGTAATAATAATAATAATAATGTAGAAAGTAATTTGACAAAACGAATCTTTTCATACTTATTTCCAGGAAGTCCATTAGTTAATTCATTATTAGGAACATTATATATTTCCTCAATACCAAATTTTATTCTTTATTTTGTTCCACCCGATATAAAACCTTCATCATTAAATTCATTAGTTAGTTTTGCGGTAGGTGGATTATTAGGTGACGTTTTTTTACATCTTTTACCTCATTCATTTTTAGGTGAAAATGATGAAAATTCGAATGAAACAATTGATAATTTTATTAAAGTTGATGAAAAAAAGAATGTAATTATTGGATTAGCAATCTTTACTGGATTAATGATGTTCTTTATAATGGATAAAATGATGAGAGTAATTAATGGAGGAGAAAATGGACATGGACATTCTCATTCCAACCATTCCAAATTACACGATGATGAAAATAATGAAAAGAATGAAAATAATGAAAATATGGTTATAAAATCTAATAATAATAATAATAATAATAATAATAATACTGATAATTATAATAATACTGATAATTATAATAATAATAATAATAATAATAATTCAACACTTCGTCAAAGAAAAATGGAAAATGATATAAAGAAAATAGATGAAAATATTAAAGATAATAATAATAATGATAATAATAATAATAATAATAATAATGATAATAATAATAGTGAAAAAAAACAATCCAACAGTATAAAACTTTCAGCATATCTTAATTTATTTGCAGATGCTACACATAATTTTACAGATGGACTTGCGATGGCTGCGTCATTTTATACATCACCAAGTATAGGAGCCACTACTACGGTAGCAGTATTTTTTCATGAAATTCCTCATGAAATTGGAGATTATGCAATTTTAATTCAAAGTGGATTCACTAAACGAAGTGCAATGTTTTCTCAATTTATAACAGCTATTGGTGCATTTCTGGGTACAATTGTAGGAATTATAATTGAAGAATTTTCTCATCATCATAATAATAATGATAGTAATAATAGTAATCATCATAATCATAATAAAAGTGGTCATTATCATTATATGGGAAGTGGAGAAATAAGTGGAGGGATTTTAGGAACAGGTATATTTTTAGGTGATTTAATTATTCCATTTACGGCGGGAGGATTTTTATATATAGCGACAGTTGGAGTAATTCCGGAATTATTAGAGATATCAGGTAAATTTAATAAAGATATTAAACAAGCAATTACTGAATTTATTGCAATGTTTATTGGTATTGGAATGATGACAATTATTGCTTGGAATGGAGGTGCATAAAAATACATAATTTAAAATAATAATAATACATAAATAAATGTAAAGAATAATAATAATAAAAGAAATAAAAGGAAAAATTTGAATATTAGAAAAATTAAGTTTCAAATAATAATAATAAAATAGATAATTAATATTTGAAATATTTAATATTAAATAACATGAATTATTATTTAATAGTATTAATAGTTGAATTAGTGGAAATATTTTTTGTATTATTATTATTTAATAAATTTTATGATAAAATTTGAAATAAAATTTGTTATTACCATATGTTACATATTAAATATATTAAAATATATTAAAATATATCAAAATATATTAAAATATATCACCAGATAAAATTTAATAAATGAATAAATATATTAGAGAGATATATGTATATGTATGTATGTATATATAATAAATAAGAATAAGAATAATAATAATAATAATAATAATAATAATTTAATAATAATAATAATAATAATTTAATAATAATTTAATAATAATAATTAATAAAACAAATAATAATAATTTTTAATAAAAATAATAATCATTTTAATAAAATAAAAATAATAATTTTAATAATTTTTACTGTTTACTTTTTAACCATTTCATTCTTCCAGACAAATCATTTTCTATAGAAGTCATTTTTTTAGTATCTTCATCTGTTATTTTAAATGATTTATCTGCTTGTTCTTTCACTATCTTTAATTCTTTATCAAATAAATTAAATAATTTTTCTTGATTCTTTTCTAATGATCTTTGTATTTCTTCTAATTCTTTTGCATTAATTTGTCGTTTACTCGTTAAATCCTCTATTCTTGAACCTGAATTCGCTACTACTTTATCTAATCCTTGAGTTGTTGAATTCATAGTTATTTGTAATTCTTTAAATTCTCGTTTTATAATTTCAACATCTTCTACATGTCGTTTCTTAAATGTTTCTAATTCATTCGATAATAAATTTTTTTGCATAATCGCTTGTTCTTTACAAGCCAATATTCCTATTAATTGTTTTTCTAATTCGTTTGCTTTAACTTCGGATTGTTTTAATTTTGTATTATATTGATCTCGTTCTACTTTCATATCTAATTTTTTGGATTCATTTTTTTTTGTTTCTTCTTCTAATTCTTTTACATTACGTTCTTTACGTTCTAACATTCTTTTTAATGTATCAATCTCTAATCTTAAAGTTTGATGTGATGCCGCATGATCTTGAACTTGACGATCTGCTCGATCTCTAGCTACTTTTGCTATATGAATTTGAGTTTTAGCATCTGCAACTTCTTTTTTCAAATATTCAATTTCATGTTGTAAATTTCCAATCACTTTTCCTGTAGTAGATTCTTGTGTCATTATGGCAGTACCAACCAATCCATCATTATTTGAAGAATGATATGTCGGTCGATGTCGATTAAGTTTTTTCTGAACTGTAGCTAATATTGCATTCTTTTCTGCTAAATCATGACGAAGTGAATATACTTGATATTTTAATGCTGAAACATTTGTCGTATCTACTATACAAATCAATATAAGAATTAAATAGTTATTATATATGTTATATATGTTATATTTTGCAAATCAATACTCCCTCCCCTTTTTTCTACTTTCTCTCTTTAATAAAGTGGCTTAAAATAAACTAACTTTTGTTAATACATTACCGATTTCAACGTATTCGCTCATTTTGACTAAATTTTATTTTTTGTGTGTCAAGAGTTGAACAAAAAAAAAAAAGAATGAATCAATAGTAGTCAATTGTATATAGTCAAATATATTTATGTCATTTATATATATATATATATATATGTCAATATTAACAATATTAAGATACTTCTTTTTTAATATATTTATTAAAAATAATTTTATTATTGAGGTGAAGTAACAGATAATATTTGAAAGAGACAGACGAAAGGAATCAGTGAGAAAAAAAAAAATAAAAGATTGAAGTTTATTATTTTTGGTTTAAAGTTTATTTTTAGAAATTCAACAGAAAAAAATATATAAAATATAAGATATTAGATATATGTATGTATGTGGATTTGATGATCAATTGATTTATGCCCACTCAATATCAATGTTTTGCCCTTTCCTGTATAATTTATTTTAGTGTAATTTTTATACGTACGAATTGGGGGTAATTTCTTTGTGACACGAGCGAACTCTTATTTACATGCATTTTTTTAGTGTATATAATATATATCATATGTATATCCATATGTATATCCAATATGTATAATAACAAATAAATCAAATAACCAAGGGAGTAACTTTAAAAATTGTAATTCTAATCTCATTTTTTTTATAAATAAATAAAAAAAATTAAATAAAACTAAATAAATAAATAAATTAAATTAAAAAAATTATAAATTATTTACATTATTGCTACTTTTTGATTCTCTCAAAATCCATATTATTATTATTATTATTATTGATAGTCCGTCCCTTACCAATAGCTCTCGTATATTTTATATCTCCACGTTCCTTAAATGTACTTCCAAAACTATTATTATTATTATTATTATTATTACTATTACTTTTGTTATTTCGAATATTTCTATTACTAATAAAATCCTCCCGATGATCTTCTCTTTTGTTATTAGAATATCTCGGGGATCTTTGTGTCACTTGTGTGGATGATGATGATGGTGATGATGACGATGATGATGATGACGACGGTGGTGGTGACGGTGGTGGTGGTGACGGTGGTGATGATAATGATGATGGTGGTGATGATTCTGGTGAATAAGTAGAATTGGGTCGAATCGGTTTAGATTTAGAAATGCTATAATTTACATCTACAAGACTTCTTCTTAATATCGGTTTATTAGATTTGATATATTTCTCATATTCTTCTTCATCACCATCTTCACCTTCACCATCATCATCATCATCATCATTCTCATCCTCATCACGTTTATTTTTCTTTCCTTTTCTTAAAAGTTTGTTTCGAAGTGATTCACCATAACTATCTACAATTGCATCATCATATTCATTATAATTCTCATCAAAAAATGCTTTTGGATATCTTCCTTTCACCGTTCGTCCGGTTTCACTAAATTCCCCTTCTTCCTCATATATTCTTGCTACCTTTTGATCTATTCCTCCTTTACCCACATATTGATCTATATATCTCCAAGCTGATCTCATATCCTTATTTTTAATTTCTTCTTCTCCTATTTTTCCAATTTTCTTAGATCTTTTTATTACGTTACCTTGTTTATCCGCAAATAAGATTTTCTTTTTTTCTAATATCTCATCTTTCATTTGTCTTTTTACACTTAAATCCTCTTGTTGATTTTTATCTTGTACAGAATTTTTCTTTGGTAATTTTATCCTCCAAGGTGATATTAAATCATATTCTGCCACTGATTTATAAAAATCTAAATTCTCTTGCCATTGACTTATTAATTCCTCATCTAATTCTAATATAAATCTCTTTTCTAAAGCTGATTCATATGCCATTATAATTCTCCTTAAAAATCTTTCATCTCTTATATTATATGCGGGCATATTAAGTGATATATGATTATTAATATTTGAAATTGGAGTATCATCATCATTATCATAATTAATATTCATTACTGATTTCTTAGGTGTTTTAGAAAGTTTATTTATCATTAATGGATCACTAGGTCCAAAAGATTCAATCTGTTTTAAAACCCATCGAATTTTCTTTGGACTATTTCCTGGTTTCCTTTTTAACATTGCTAATTCTAATATCATATTTAATAAATGTGAATCTAAACAAAGTTCCAATTTTTTAGTCGCTATTATAGATTCAAAAAATTCTTTACCAGTAATCCAATCTTCCGTTATACGACAAGCTGTTAAAAACATATCATAAGTTTCCAAAGTTGGTTCTAATCCACGTGCTTTTATGGCATATCGGGTATCAATTGATTTATTAAATTGACCAGTTTGATTATAACAATTAATTAATTTATTAAAATTATAAATATCCAAATTTAAATTATTAAATTGACTAAGTGCTTCATCAAATAATAATATTCCTTTTTCATATTGCCTAGATCCAATACATAAAGCTAACATAATATCTACCGATTTTTCTGTCATGGCACATTGATAACTTATAGTAAATGATGACATGGATTTATTATAATTTAAAGATCCATCATGATCCAAAGTTGCTGATGATAATCCATAAACATCACGTAAGATTTCAAATCCTTTATCATAATGTTCGGTTTTTTTACATACTAATAACATGGATCTCACTAATTCATCATCCATCACTAAATTAATTCCTTCATTATCTGGTCCATATCCATCCGATTCACGTGGTCGTTGTGATTGGATGGTCTTTTGATGACCTCCAATAATAGAATTAATATGATTCCAAATTTGTATAGCTACCAAGAATCCTTTTTCTCCTTGTCTAGCACAAGAATTTAACATTATAGTAAAAGTTTCTTGATTTGGTGACCAATTACCAATATTCATCATCTCATTAAAATTTCCTTGTAATGCTTCAAAATTATTTAATCGACCACATAATTTTAATAAACAATTCACATGAAAAACATTTAATTCTACCGGATTTGCTTTAGTAGAAGATTGCATTTTATCAATTAAAGAACGAGCTTGAGCTATATTATCTACGAATGGACGATGTTCGGCGAGACCATTTAAAAGAATGGTGAAAGTGTGATAATTTGGTACGAATCCATGTTTTTTCATCTTTTCATAAACAACCACAACAACAAATAATAATAAGAATATATTTATTATTGAATGAATTATTGAATAATAAATTAATAAATAAATAAAAAAAGAAGTTACCTCAATAAATAATTGAAATCCCATCTTTACTTTCTTTTTTTTAACGCATTCAACAATCAAATTATTCCATACAACTTCAGACTGTGCATCTTTTTTCGAGTGCCAAACAATACTTATGGCATCATCAAGTTTATCAGCATTCCCCAAATTTTGTACCCATTCGGATAAAACATAAGGATCGGTAGGAAGTTCAAGTTTAGGGTCAACAGGTTTAACGTCAATTTTTACTCGGAAGTGATGAGGTGTTGCGAAAAAATGACGATAACATGAATAATTCGTAGATAGAAAATGATAAAATGAATCATTATTATTATTATTATACTTTAGAAAGTGATTGGTATTTATATTTTGTAAAAAATATGAACCAAAAAATTGGGAATGAGGAATATTTTTATTATGTAAATGTCGAAATTGATATGACAATGATGGTGACTTATAAAATTTATAATAAAATGGTTTCAAGTTTTTCAGAGTAAAACTTAAAATTTGAAATCTCTCGGTAGAATAATAATAATTCAAATGTGAACTAGATTTTATAAACATAATTACGTGAATCGTAACGAAAAAAATTACGACAAAAAGATTATCAATAACCACGTGACTTAATCGGTAAAAAATTAAAATTACGATAGTAATTTTCCGATTATAATATGTATGTATATATATAATGAGTCGATTTTATAAAAAATTTAATATAATAAATTTAATAAAATGACAATGAATTGGATCCCTTTTTCTCTCTTTTCACCAAAAAATATGTTTAAAAAGAAAGAAAACGAGGGTAAAAATCTATTTTTCAAATAACCAATACTTGACAACATTATAAATATTTCTAATAATCTATTATGAATTTGAAACATATCTGACCATTGAAGAAACGGTTAAAAAGCTCTTTCCGGATGCATCAAGCACTAATATTAAAAAATATACAAACCAGATTTCAAAAGTTGACAAATTAGATCCAGTGTTGATTATAAAGCCAAATCAAACATGGGTCGCGAATTATGGATAGATCACTTATAATCAAGCAATGCTACTTAAAATCTTAGTAATCGATGCGGAGATGAGAATAGTCATTGCGTTTTTCATTTAAGGGACATTCAAGAACTGTATTCTGTTCGGGACGGTCTTTTTAATAATAACCTTATTCCCAACGGCTTTCACGTGCCTCCTACTTTATGAGCTGTTGTATCCCCAACTACTAATAATTCAGGATGTGCGTACATTATTATTAAGTTGGAAACCAAAAATTCTGAATTTACGGAAGATACGGATTTTTTTGTCGGTTAATCAGCAGTCGTGTCTTGCTTAAAATTCTGAAATCAAGGAGGAGCGAAAGAACATGCTTTATAAGAATATAATTTTTATATCAAATTAGTGAATTAATTTTTACATTGAAATTTTAATAAATTCACAAACCACACATTGCTTTATATAAACTACATTCGAAGAGTTCTGTCAGATGCTTGCCCTAATAAAGAAATACACATTAATCGACATGCAGAATACGGGATAAACTTATAATGTAACACAAAACCTTTGGCTTCGGGCTTCACTCCTCCATTCAGCCTCAGTGCGCATTTTTTGTAATTTCGTTTTGCAAAGTTAAAATATCTTGCTTACATTTGGGTCTACGATTCCAGAGTTGGAATTGGGCTGGAGTTTGATGAAAATAAATAAATACTACAACAATAATTATAAAAAAATATTATTGTATTTCTGAGATTACGGAATAAAGTATCTCCATTGTTATTATACCCCGCCTATACGCTTCATAGATTGTGATCACGGTAAATAAAATTGCGAATAAAATATTATCAGGAATATTGAGTTGCATTTTTTTCGTGGTTATTTATTTTGAAATTAATAAATCTATTAATTGGTAGTTTGAGTGTCGCACGATTATTTAATTATTGCTTTAATTTGGTTGATTGATTTCTTACTAGAACTTCGTCCTGTTTTTATACGTTATGGTTCTTTAAATTTCGTACTATCGAGGTAATAAAATTTTGACGATCAGTTTTTGCCGATTAATCTTAGATTTTATTTATATCAGCGATCCATGGTATTAGTTCTTTTTTATTTCGTATTAAAATGTGGTAAAATTGTTTATGAAGTATCAACTTATATTGCTTCTGAAATCATTTGATCCAATTCGAAATAACATTAGGTTCGAAATTTTGTAAGATCAAACGAAATATAACACGATTAAGGAAGATTTATATTACTCCGAATTAGAGTTGTTAATGGAGTGGGTTGGGTTCATATTATAGTGGAGTAAGGGACAACCCAACCTAACCTGAATTAAATACTCCGGGTTTATACTTCGGGTTATACTCCAGGTTGTTCCAGGCTACTCCGGGTTACTCCAGGTTACTCATAATTATTGACCTAGTTTATTTAACTTCGGATTCATTAATACAACACATAAAAAAAAATATTTATTTTATTTCTTTCATTTCTTGTTGAGGTAAAATTAATTGTTGAGTTTCTTCAGGTAGATTCAAAGATAGATTTCTATTGGCTAATTTTGTGCAATGTTTATAATTAATAAATTCACTTAAATTATTAAAATTATCAATAATAGGTAACAGTGGTCTGTCGGCTTCTTTTGCCAGAATAACATTATGAACTCTCTCTTTTATCACTTGTGTGGGTGGGTGGGTTACTGTAGGCTGAGTTCGCATTGTGCCTGCAGTAATGTTAAATCTTGGAAATCGTGGGAATTTTCGTGATATATGATTCTGGAGATTTAGATAATTTTTAATGTAGTGGATGCTAAAGTTCAGATAAAGTTACTTGTATTACTTGTATTGGTCTTCTCCTTTGTTGTTTTTCTAGTTGCCTCTTCTGTTTTGTTTTATTTTTATCCTTCTTGCTAGTTAACGTCTTGTTTATACATGTTTCCAAAATTAATTTTGGATTTTTGAGGTATTTCAACTTTTTGAGATTTATGTAGAATCTATTCTATATATAGAAGTAAAAAAAGTATCCAGTTATGTGTATATTCAATCAAAGAATAAATC